TTAAGTTTCCATGCAAAACTCAACGCCGCTCACATACAGTATGCTGTATTTGAGCAGTCCCTATTGGCATCGGTCGGCGATGTATAGTTATATTTAGAGGGATAATGTTTGGGCTAAAAATACACTATTCAATGAATTTTCTTGCGACTTACCTAACATGTGATATCTTTATATATTATTAGATATAGTGGCATGAGAAAATTTGCAAATAAGAAACGGAATCTAAACAAAATTGTTTTTCACGGGAAATAACTAATAACTTTGTAAATAGAAAGAGTAAGATGGTATTTTTTTAAGCTCGGTAAAGAAATAGAGAAATATGTTTTTCGTCTTGTCACGAGCTTGACAAGACTCTCCTGACAATTTAAATGACTGTCAATCTGCTTTCCGGTGAAAATGACTTCATTTGTTTCAAGCATCACAAAAATCTGAGGGCCTATCCTCAAAATGGTCAAACAGCAGACAGATATCTAGAGTTTTTGCAATCAGTACGTTTTTATGTAGGACTACGTCCCCTGTAATATATTTACACTTAAGCTTGGCATTAAATCAATTTTTTTACGTCCACCCAAATTTGTTACACGTTTGAACTAGTGCGTGTTAAACGAACGGCAATAACAGAATACAACCACAACAGTAAATTAAGGAAAACTACTCCAGGTGGAAATAAAACTTAAATAAGATTATATTCTTACGGCATAGAATCGTGAAACATCTCAAAAGAGCTTCACTTTATCCAGTTTAAATGAAATATTTAGTAGGGCTTTTTAAGTGATAAACCTACGATTTATGTTGACAGAACCCGCGAAAAGCTCTTCCTCAGTATTACTGTTTTTTCCGGCTTCCTCTAATAAAGACTTGATGAAAATTCTCGGAATGGCGTTCAATTATCCGTATTTTCTGATTAAAAATTTATCCATTTAATTAAAATTCTTCAAGCAAAATCTTTTTCTGCACCAGAAAACTGCAAATAATACATCTCATATATTAAATTATTGTTTTTTTAGAGGGCACGGTAACGAATCCTGCAATCTGATTGGTTCTTTACCCGGTCAGTATTTTCCTATCTCTGCCCACGGGCCACGGTAACGCTTTCGTGAGTCGCCGTGTACATCTCAACTTTCGTTGCCATTTTTCATAAATATACCTCGTTTTGCCCGCTGGGCAGTATTTTTAAGCAAACACATCGGTCACTACCTCAAGCCGACTTATGAATCCCCTCTTTCTCTCTCTCAAATCAATTTAGTTGACAAAAAAATATTGGTTTCAGAATGAATTTGTATAGGCAATGGTGTCATTACGTCGGTTGACAAGCGGCCTAAAAACCGTCTGCAATTGATTTTAATCATTCACAAAAAGTACTTAGAAAGTTAAAACGTGAGGTATTTGGTTACAGGTAAACTGAACAATGGAACTTTCATTCATTTAATGTCTGAATTTTCTCAAACAATTTGTTCGTAGTAAAAGAGCGAGCGAAGTTTTAATTTCAGTTCGACAATAAATATACGCTCTCGGTGAGTCTTTCAAAGTCCGTTCAATTTGGACATTTGGACCATAAATTGCACAACAGAAACTGAAGGAATTTATTGAGAAAAGGCCGCATTAAATCCCCTTGTGTCTCGTTGGAGTGTGCCGTTCGAATTCAGTTTTTGTGGAGGAAAGACCAGATTTACACACGCCGTTGCAGCAAACAAACGAGCAAACTCTCACAACTTCAAAATAAAAAATTTGAATTTACTCACAATTACTTTCCTCGCCGTTTACTTAATGAAGAGAGGTAAATCTTCGTACATGAATGAATCGTCGATGAGAGTGAATAATACTTTCCGTTATATCATTGGATGTTTTTGAAGAAAACATTGTCGTGACAGTCCTTGCCAAACTAGTTCCTTTGTTTTTCAAACCTTCTTGCGCTTTTTTTTCTTACGCGCTCTCTAATTGACAGGTGTCAGATTGTGACAGATAGTTTTAAAAATAATGTTTCCAACTTTGTTTGGAAGCCTTTTAAATCACCTTCATCGTTACGGAAATGAAAATGTTTCGCTGAGGCATCTCTCTTAAATTTGCATCACTTCTATTTTAACTACCATTTACTCACTCAAAAATTGTTCAGTTTATGGAAGATCTTGCCGTATTTACGGCCATAAATCATTCGGGTTCTTTCGGAAAGAATTTCGTCAAGTTTAAAAACTCGGTCTTGAAAATGCTGCCCTCGGCCTATGGCCTCGGGCAGTATTTTCAAGACCTCGGTCACAGTTTTTCACCATACGGACCTTCCAGCCGGCAAATAACATATATTTATTGATCATTGGCAAGATCCGGAATTTGACACTTAAAACTGATGAAAGATGAAAACTGTAGATAAAGCGAGCATAAAAGTAAACAAATGATCCCCACCGGGTTAGCTGTAAAATTAACGAAGTTGCAGATAGAAGCTTAAAAAAGATTCAGGCCTCAGCAGGATTCGAAACCAGGCCTCCCAACTAATATTTGGGCGCTACTGCAACTAAGATACAAAGCCACATCTTGGGAACGAGGCAACTGTGGTTTTTTTTTCTTGCAGCTTGGACTCAAGGACTCAAGAACTCTTCATCTTTAATTACTTCTAGCTTGCGAGGATTATTTCGTTGCTTGTATGTCATCAGCAGATCAAATTATGATCTATTTGATTAAATTGTGTATGCTCTTTTGTACGTGGGTGTTTTTGTTGTTGCTTTTTTTTTTTTTTTTTTTTTTGGAAAAGCACGCGAACGTTTTTTCCCTCTAAAGTAATTTTTAAAGATGTTACGTCGGATGTTTCATCGACAAACTTCATGCAAAAAAAAATATTTTCCTCACTCTTTTCCTCGAAGTGTAAGTGCGCAACTTAAAAATGTCCTAAAGGCGCAGCTTCAGCAAACTTTACACCTGAAGTAAAAATAATTGACATTTGAAAGTAAACACTGGTACTCATTTCATTGTTCTTCACATTTCGTGTCAGTCGGGAGACTTATTTGAGCGTTATGTTTTAATTTGAAAACGAACTCAGCGAACAGTTAATTTTGAAACTGTGTTCCGAAACCATAAAGTTTTAACTAGGAGCGTATAAAAATGGATGGTAACCAATAGGCCAAGATTCCGATTTCGCTCGGTTGATGGAAATTAACTGTCATAATATGTGAACTTCGTGAACTAGATGCGAGTAAAACTTTTTTATTCACATATTTCACATTCCCATTACAGTTCTGCGACAAATTAGAAGCCATACAATGGTAGACTCATTTTGCGAATATTTGCTGCAACTATGGCCAGATACATCTGAAGTGAAGACGTTTCGCTGGACGTGTATCGCAAATGTCGTCTTAAACAGCTTTTTATGTTATACTGCTGTGGTGTTAAATGCTATAACGATCCACGGAATACGAAAAACATCCTTCTTACCAACACCTCTGAAGACTTTGCTGTTGAGTCTTGCTGTTTCAGATGTTGGTGTTGGTATATTTGCTCAGCCATTGTTTACTTCAGTTTATGTCAAGTTGCTGGCACAACACTCTCCTGGGTGTCCTCTCTATAAGACTGTCTATGCCTTATCAGTACTGTTTTGCATGGCTTCTTTGAGTGGCGTTGCAGCCATCAGCTTGGATAGATTCTTGGCCATTCATCTTCATTTAAGATACCATGAACTTGTAACGTACCCGCGCGTACTTGTTGTGGTAATATTCAATTGGATGTTGAGTGCGTTTGTTTCGCTGATGTGGTTCTGGATTCCACTGCGCATTGCGTACCCTCTTATCTATATTCCCTCGATCCTCTTTCACCTAGTGAGTGCGATGGCTTGTATCAAGATTTATCAAGTTGTGCAACGCCATAAAAACCAGATTAATTCCCTGCAAGTACAGTGCGAAGAACAAAGGCCTAGTGAATTGGTAAATTCTGCTGGCCTCCGAAAGTCTGCAGTCGGTGTATTTTACGTGTATGTGGCGTATTTAATTTGTTACTTACCTTCTTCATTCTGTTACATTGTCGTAGCACTTAACGGTCCAAGCATTCGGTTAAAAGTGTTTATCTCTTTCGCGAATTCTCTTGTATTCCTTAATTCGACTTTAAACCCAATACTTTATTGTTGGAAGATGAGACACATTCGACACTCTATCATGAACATGTTACGCAACACACTGGCTGTATTCAGAAACTCTTTATCACTGGAAGAGTGATAAACGTGTCATCAAACTTAGACTAGGATCTTATTTTTTATAGTAAGAAGTGCACGCAACCAGGATTTGGTTTGGCCCAATTGCGAAGTAACAAATACATACAACGGCAGTAACCAAATAGAATTTGCTTTTCCTGCCATGTATTGATCGATTATGAAATAGCTAAGTAATGATGACGATAATAATAATAATAATAATAATAATAATAATGATAAGTGCGGGATATAAGTATGATGAAGGGAAAAACGCCCCGAATGTTGTTTGTTGTCTTACTGGCGCTAACTAATGAGCGCGGAAGGGGACAGGACATAGTAAATTAATCAAGCGTGGTGGGTGAACGAACTTATGAATTGTTTCATCGCTTTGTTCAATATGATCATATTTGATTGTGTTTTTTAGATGCTTTTAGTTATTCAAATTAATTTTTTATTGATCGCAGCCTCAGATTGACCCTCAACTTTCCGAGCTTTGCCCAGCCGGCCACCCGGCTCACCTCAACTCAATCCTTATCAGTCTCCCTCGCACGTTTTCTTTTGTTTTAATTCGGAGAAAAATTGATTACTAAGGTATCATAGTCTTACAACGTCATAGGTAATAAAAACCTTCCCAACTTTTCTTTTTTTTCCCCCCTAGAGTTCTAGAAGTGGATACTGAGGCGTATCCTTTTTGTCATTTTCAATTATTTCCCAGAAAATTAGAACAATTGTCCATAAAAAAAGGTGAAAATGTTCTTGGGGCCATAACGAACAGAGGGGTGTCTCCATTTATTTTTTAAAGATAAAACAAGTGAACAAAGCAAAACAAAACTCAAGGAAGAAAAGAAATTTATTCTTCAATCATTCGTTTGACTTGAACCGGTGGATTCTTTAATCAAGACGTAGATCCACAATCCTTTGCACTTGCACACTTTAGCTCAACCCTAACGAACCGAAAAGAGAAAAAATAGTTTGTTTAGGTTGTCTCCACTCTGTCACAGTGGAGTGATCCTCTTTCATAGGGAAAAAGACCTTAAGCAAAATAACCTCACGTTCAAACCATGGAGCCTTTTATCTTTCTTATCAAATTGCAGGCCCAGACAATTGCAAGTGCCTTCGCAGTCCAGTTAGCGATGGCGTTATACTGCCCTTTGGAAGGAATGGGTGAAGGCCCGCAAAAGCCTGGATTCATTTTCAAACCTCAATATCTGCGATTGCTTTCATTGGGAATCAGTTGGTCAGGTACCAGCCACACGCCAATATGATACTGCGCTCATGATTTATAGAAATCAAAGAAAATGCAAAGTATAATGAAGTAAAAGAACAAATACAGCAAACAGAAAGCATCTAGTTAACATAAAGTAATTACGGCAAACTTCGGTTAACGCAATCAGCGCTCAAATTTATGTATGGGTACCATACGACTTAGACCGGGTGTTACACAAATAATCTGAGCTTAATCAACGGTGCTGCAAAACCATCTGGAAGAACAAATAAACACCAACATACCGCAAAATGGGGGGTTGCTATTTGTCTTTAGGTAAAAATTGCCAGTTGATGCTGTTTTGTCGGCATCATATCCCATGGAGGGGCATTTACCATGGCATGGAGTGCTCTTTCTTCTCTCACAGTCTGAGAGACTGTGGCATGGTAACGCTTTCCAGGAGCAATTGTTTTGAACTGAAGCAATGTAGTATTCTGGAGCCCTCATATGGTCACAGATCACTGTCTGGAAGATATCTAAAGAAAGAAAAATCATTTTAGTTGAGTGTTTTAAATTTTTGTCAGTCCTTGTACCGCTTATCTGTATTTCCTTTTATCGCCTGTTTCTAAAGTTTCTTCCTTTGCATTTTTTTTTTGTTGTTTTCTTGATCAGGTTGATTTTTGAAAAGGTTATTGAAAGGCACTTTACCACTCGTTTCAAACAGTAACTTGGAATAAAGAAAGTAATGCAGATCTAAAACAAACCAAAACAGACCCTGTGTCAAAACGGAAAGAAAGGATGGCAAGAGATACGAAAAAGAGGATTTTGTCCTGTGTATGTTATTATGTTCGCCATTTTGATTTCTGGTCAGCACATGAATTCCAAACTAGCGAAAATAGGAATGCTCAGGTGACCACAACAACTGCTTTTTTTCCTTTAACTGTCACATTATGCGCTTTTAGGGATTAACCCGAGCTGAACAATTCACTGAAGTCAAGTGGCAGGTTTCTCTAAAAAAAATAAAAAAAAAAATAGGGAAGAAGATCACAGAATTTGCCCCCGAAGGAAATGGAATCTAAAATTGACACCTCCTGAAACCTCCTAAGGAGTGGATTGAGGAATTTTCTATTTCTATTGCAATGTGCAGAAACGTACCCAGCTTCGCAAGTGTTTGTCTACAGCCAGGCTGTCGGACGCCTCCATTTGGAAAAAAGTCTGCATGACCAGCCTCCTTACGCATCCCGAAACCGAGTAATCCACCCTTCGGTGGCATGTCAGTGTGTATGACGTCAACGTATTTAGCATCACTTTTATCCAATCGGAAGCGAGCATCGCCGACATTGGTAAAAAGGGGTCCCGCTGGATCTAATCCTATAAAAAGAAAAGACAGCAAGGGTCGGTCCAAAGTCAAGTTTGAGTCAGTTCGAGGGCTTGAATGAATACACAGGTAAAAGCAGTCCTTCACCGATTGGTTTCCCAACCAAATGGGAAGCAAGGTGGACAAGAAGGATATTTGAACAGGACTTTCAAGCACATGTGGGCCAAACGAAAACTTACATTTCAAACAAAGTATTTCCCATATTTCGCAAAGCCTCTGCTTGTGGCTTAGTTTTAATTAACGAATCTTGAATTTTCTGCCCGTGATCGTTACCATTCAACAATAAAAATTTTGCTGGAAATGGCAGAGGGAATTTAATGTAATCCATGGTATGTAGAATTTTTTTTTCCCAGAAGTACCTGTTATACGGCCAAGTGTCATTCCGGCTTTATCCTTCAGATAAGTTCCAGCATATCCTGCTGCTTGAGCACCAAGGCTAAATCCTATAACATAAAACTTGTCGACCAAGTTACGTGACCCACCGGCACTGGAAATCAGGAACCTTATAAGCTCTCCCACCTGAGCCCCCACAAGTTGAGTGTTTCCAGCAGACTGGTAATAATCTTTATTTGCTCCTTTGGACCAGTCCACCAAAATTACATTGCAGTCCTCTCGGTTCTTCAGCGCGTTTTTCATCCGTGTGGCCCAGCCTTTTGAATTCTCTAGATTTGATGTGGTGTATGAGAGAGAGATATAAATTATTTAGTCATTATGTCTCTTGTGGAAGTGAATAATTGTGCCACACCAGATGTGTGCGTCTGCGAAACCAGTGGCTGAGGACTGTTTAAAACTGGAGTGAAAAAATATTAAATTCTGAAGGGCTTGCATTCGGCGCATGGAATGAACTCCTTCTGGGGGATTAGGTCATAAAGCTTCAACCGCTCTTAATTTTTATCAATGACCTTTTTCGAGGGGAAGGGGTCAAATATCAAAACTTTCCATGACCAGTTTATTAATCTGCCACTCGATGATTTAAAAATGTTCTGGGGATAGTGAACACCCAAGTTGATTTCCTGCCCCCCCCCCCACCAGATTTTACATTCTATGCAGATCCCAGGTTTAAGGGCTCTAGCTGCAGGCATTCGTGGTACTTACCCCTCCATCCATGAATCACGAAGATAGTTCGTCGCATGATGTTGAACTTAGCCGCCCTCAATCTACTTACACTAACATCATCAACTTCCCCAGAACCACTTCTGGTGAACATGGTAAATTTAGTACCAACATCAGATGGGCTTTGTGGTAATTCTGCTCTAATCGTGAAAAACGTCCAACGAACTCCAGGGTGTTTATTGAAGCAGCCGTATTTCCCATGGCATACCCTTGAGGGCTTCTTTTTAAATAAGAAACCTGTAGAAGTAAAGATAACGCAGAAGTGGATCGTCAGTATTTCGGCACATCGGCATCGTGTTCCATGTAGTCGGTAAAGCGAAAGTAAAAGAGCTGCCGCCAAGTATTGGATGCAGTGTCTCACGCGGAACTTCTAAAAATATGAAACCTGTGAGGCGTATCGTGAGTAGGTAGCACTTTTCGTTCGATCTCAAATGCTTGCGCCGTGAAGTTTGATTGGACGGAAAGTTCATTTAAATGTCAACGTGGTACCTTGCCCTAAAATATTTTACAAATTAATTTTTATGTGGATCAAGATGGTTATTCATTTTCTGGGATTTATAATTTATGTGAACCAATTTTATTTTTTGAGACTTGTTTAGGTAGTACGTTTGCGTATTGTGCAACAAGCTCGTTTCCTAGTTACAATATTGAAATATAATCCTATTGTTAATTTTTCTCTTTCGAATGCAAATTAAAGTGACGTGGACCCTTTCGAGAAATAATATTTAAAAGTGAGATATTAACTAATATTCCGGTATCTAAACTCAGTAAGTCTTTTACTCATAAATACACTCTCGTCGCCTGACAACTTACTGAGGATAAATAAGGTTATTATGAATGTGGGTACGAGTTAATGAATGCTCATAGTCATGGAGAAAAAATTGTCTAGGGATCGCTGATTAGCTAGAGGTTAAACCTCAGTCGAGAGCTATTTCTGGAACTAAAAGTTAAATTTATGCAAACAACCAAATAAACCATACAGATAAGTATTGTTTATATGCAAATAAGTCGCGCTTCTTTACGCTTGAGCGGCAGACTCACTATTGATTATAAAGAGAGAAAACGTTTGTATCCAAATAAAAAGTCTTGGTGTCTTTCCTTCAACCATGAGACTGACAAATACCTAAAAAAACCTTGGATTGATGGTAGAATATCCTATTAGCGGGGTAAGCCACTAAAGAAACTGTTATGCTGCGTCGGTGGGGGGCATAACAAGATAATTCGGTTTCGTAACATGAGTGGCTGCTATAAAGAGTTTCTCAAGCTGACATTGGCCCTTCGTCAGAGAAAACGTTTGTATCCAAAAACAAAGTCTTAGTGACGTTCCTTTAATCACAGTGAATGGCAAAGCCAGGGCTAACGCTCGAAAAACAAATCTTGAAACTCTTTATGGGGATTAATTTAAATATTCGACTCAGTTGATGAAGCGAAACAATCTTTAAACATCTTAACCCAGCCTGAATGATACCAGTCACTCATTGGAGGGATCCTTAAAATAGGTGAAAGTAAATAACGACCGTATGGCGTCAGTACTCACCCTCTGCTGCTGTAGTTAAGATTATAAGTAACAAGATAACTTTGTTTGCCAACATTTCTTCCGTCCTTCGGCCTCGCCTTAGCCTTGTTTCAATTTCGTGGTTTCAATTTCGGTAATGCTGATTGTCCGAAATCATTCAACGTAATGATAATATCTCATCATATAATAAAGCTTTATTTTGAAAAGGTTGGAACATTGCCCAATATTTCGCATTAGCCCACGTCACACCTTGAATGAACAACCAATCGGATTTCGATAAAAAGTAGAATTTTTAAACTAGGTAAGGAGCTTGAGTTTTATTACACGAAATCTCTAACATGTTTTCTTAATTTCTATCATACTGTCACTGAATAAGATAGATCAATCTGATGTATCATTCATATCCGAAAAACTCAATATAAATGTAAATAACAATTATTTTTTGTTAACCTAACAGTTTGAGGGCAAACTCGAGACTTGTTAATATTTTGTAGAATCAGTCGCTCAAAAGTGGCTGGATATAACTTCAACTTCAACTTCAGAGCACTGAAAAACCAATCTTCCTTCTTTCTTCTTTGCATTCGAACGATTTTCAGGCATGAGTTGACTAAAGGATTGATGTTTGAAACAGTGGGTGTACTGTGCCCATCAATGTTCATATGCTAATGTACGAGGTAATTCAACAGCGGTTTATGGGAATGATCGATGGATTTTTTTTTCTCCACTTGAGGATTTAACTTTTGGGGTAAAGCCTCTTATTAGAGTGATTTTCAACAAATTTGATCTGGTTATTCAAGTTTTTTTTTAATTGATCAGCTGCGTCATGACACCGTTTACAGAAGGAGCTCTGAATTAAATTCTATATCCCCTAGGACAATCAGTTTTCATCCCCCACAATTCTTAATCTGTTTCGAGCTATTTTGCTAAATTTTCAAACGGTTTCTCGTATCAAAGAGGTGACATTACTTAGAAAATTAAGAGAACCTTTTGTCGCAATATTTCTCGGACGCTAAGTTAGGTCCTTTAATCTTGTTATTGGTCTTGAAATATAGCATATATGGAACATATATGCCACAATAAAAATGTCAATAATCTTTTGCATAGAAACGTTGTTAGTCGAGGGAAGAGGCCGAGAAATAGTACCCTTTAGTTGGCTTGGGGTATGATGTTGACATCTGTTTTCTTTCGAATAACTTGCGTGAAGATTGGACAGATACTTAGTAATATTGAAATTGAGTGACGTCAAAATATCTTTATATTACCCAGAAAACAAGCGATTGGAATAGCAAAACTAAGTTAACTAACAGGCAGTTCGAGTCAAAAGCTTAATGTATATATTACTGGTACTTTAAAGCACTCTCAACAGGTTTTACAGGTAAACTTGTCCAAAAACACGTCGTTTCGAATTACATTGGAGCAGCAAAATTACCAGACATCGACTCGCGAAGTTCAATACGAGGATTTACGAATCCCGTCTAAAATAAGCGTAATAACTGTGAATGCAGAATAGCGTAAGTTGTTCAGCGAGAGCGACTCCAGACATAAAGCAAATTGGAGTCACGTGGGATAAAAAAAAAATTCACTACTCCACTCGTCTCGAGTAAATTATGGGATTACAAATAACTTGAAGCTATCTGGAGAGCAAAGTATTTACAGTGCAAGTGTTAAATCCCTTACATAATGATTGTTCCCCTGAAAACACTTCCTCTATCCATCTAAAAGCCAATGTATCTTTGAGGAAGTAAAGACTTGATATATATATCTTGCATAATTACGCAACGGAAATCTTGTGACGAACCTCATCCTCTTTAAATGTATTTCTTAACTTAAGATTTACGTCAGACATATCTTTACAAAGTGTGTTACGAATTTCATGAAAAACCACTCACAAATGATGTCCGTTCAAAGATTTGATCAATTTTTAGCACTAAGCTGTCCAAGCGCTTCCCATGCTTATCTATATTGGAAATACCTAACAACCACAACATGTACATACCCTGAATCAATCCAATGAATGAAACAAAGACGACAAAGTATTTGGTTGGCAACATCTCCTAGTTTTCACCTATCGCTGATTTGTTTATGTTCTTGTCTGGTCAATGCATTCAAAGTTATTAAACCGGTGAGAAAGATATTAAAAATTAATTGACAATTAGACCTTATTGTCACGTCTAGAAGAATCATTCTATTGTAAAGAGTTGACCTTGCTCGCGGCACATGTCACAGTTGAAAGAAAGCAAACAAGAAATAATTTCCTGATTAATTCCGCACTCGCTTTCATTAAGTAATTGCAAAAAAGCATGTGCTTTGAAAAATTGAAACTAAATTTGCGTGATTGAATGTACTTCGGAGATATCGAACGTAAAACGTAGGGGGCATCTCAAGATATTAAGTATAACAACTGAATTTATAAAATAAATAGGCGACCGCAAAGAGTTTTTAAAACTAAAAACTCATAACGGTGGCCAGCTTACATTATCAACCCAGTGTTAAAAGACAATTTATCTGGCCCAAATTAAACCTCCCCACTGAAACTCTCTTGTAATTAATCTAGCTCCCATAGATGTAGACTGGAAAATTAGGGAAAGTTTACAGTGGAAATAAAAAGCACTCCATACGGTTAAACAAAAACTTGAGAGAAGTTAAAGCAGCATAACTGCGAACACCCCGCTGATGCTTATTCAGAAGCCCACTCTCCCTAGAACTGCCAGAGTCACGGTACAGTAGAGCGTTGAAGAAACATGATGCTAAAGGAGGTTTTGCGGTGTTGTTTTCCATTGTTTTCCTAGTTCAGAGTGGAGATAGCCGTCGGTTTCTTTATAAAGCTGGTGCATGTGCACCAAACAGTTGAACTGTGAAACATGGGGAAAGGTTTAAATGTTTGTGCACGAAACGCAGAACGACGAAAACAAACTGGAGGCTTAGCTTGGTTTTATCGATTAAGTGGCAAACGTAAATAGTCTTTGAAGTTGCCGTTTCGAGTGTTAGTCCTTCTTTAGGGCGAATGAAGCGCTGACGCTCGAAACCTCAACTTTAGAGATCACTGTGACTAGTTTACATTATAATTGTTGTTGATAAAAATAAAATGATCTTGTTTTAAACCCCCACCGACGTAGCACCACAATTATTTTAGAAACCTTGCCCTTTATTCATTCGTGTATTCAAAAAACGATCTATGCCATCGACAAGAAAAAAGAAGCCACTTATATTCATTGCAATTATTTCTCATCTCGTCTGAGGAAATACACGATGACGTACTTTGAATAAAAGATGATCGATCAGCAGTTAATGTAAGAAGCTTAAATAAATGTTCTCAGCCTTACAAGTCTCTGTAGCTTTTTTTCGTAATTGAAAGTGAAAATTCGGCTGCTCCAATCCTCCACAACCACATTACAGTCCTCATGCTGTAAAAGTGCGTCTTTCATTATTGAGGGCCAGAAAATTGGATTATCTAGATGTAATATAATTTATGACAAATATTAAGCTAAAGACTAGTCATAACTTACACTAAGACTATGAGGTTCTCAGAGTGTTTTAATATGGATCCATACTGGATTTCCGAAAACATGGATGAACGAAAAAAGATCCTTGAATTCAGTCTCGTTTAACGGATCAAGTCTTTAAGCTTGATACGCCGGCCCCTTTGTTGAAGGCCCCGCTGAAAACCGCTGGGTTCCCTTATCAAATGTCATTGTTGATATTACTATTATTTAAGTGAATTCACTTTTCACGAGCAGAAGAACAAAAAAAACCCAAGTCCGGCCAGGACTTGGCCAAGAAGATAGTTTGTTATGTGAAGCCACCTCCAGTTTATCTATATCAACATCATTAACTTCCCCAGACCCATTCCTGGTGAACATGAAGAATTTAGTACCAACATCAGTCGGGCTTGGTGGTAAGAATGGACTAACTTTGATGTGCCCCCATATAACTCCAGGATGTTGATAGAAGCAGCCGTATTTTCCATAGCAGACCTTCAAGGGCCATAAGGGCCATAAGAAACCTGCAGAAATACAAAGAACGATTTCACTTATTCAGCACATCAGCATCATGATAATAATTTGTTAGTAATAAACAACCAATTACATAGCGCTATTAACATACGCTGATCAAAAGCGCTTTACACTAAAAATAATAATAATAATCCTATTGATATAAATAATAATAATGATAATAATTATAGTCATAATCATCATCACAATATTAGTAATAGCTCTAAAACCGTGTCGTTCGAGCGTATCCAGTATTAGCTCTTTTGCTTAAATTTTATCATGTCACTAAAAAAAGATGGCACCAGCCCATAAATTGACTTAAAGAGGGGGGAAACCTGATCCTCTCCCACGTACAGTCAGGTAAGACCTCGAAGGAGAAAGGTTGCTGAATTGTAAAATTTTGATGCTACAGACTCCAACATAATGACATTTACCAAAAAGAAAGTTAAAAGATGAGCTTGAGACAACAGCAAAACCAGTCTAGAACAATTTCCCACAGTATACCGCCAGAACATGCCCTCTTCCATGTTGCTTTAGCAATTTACAGGTTAGGGGGAACGTGAAAACGGTAACTTGCTGCTGTTTAACGAACCGCAACAAATAACAATATGACACACGTGACTCCTTCCCTTGATTCCCTCACACACGAAACTCTACGTAGAAATATTCTAGGATTCTCCTTCTGAATATTAATTTTAGCTGAATGACTGAGAATAGAATAGTTGTTTCCGCGCTGGTAACGATTACGATAGTTTTGTCGGGTGAGCTAAAAACTTAGAAGTGTGATTTGAACCAAAAATGTCAGTGTGTGCACATTTCACCAAGTATACCACATACCCAAGTATTTGCACATAGTGCAGCCCTCTATGAACTTCACTAGTTTCCCATTATTTGTCGAATCAGTTTTTTGATTTACTCATCATCATCATCATCATCATCAAAATATAAATAATAGCTCTTAAACCGTATCGTTCAAGTGTATCCAGTATTAGCTCTTTTGCTTAACTTTTATCATGTAACTAAAAAAAGATGGCACCAGCCCATGAACTGACTTAAAGAGAAAAGCATATGAGAGGCATCTCAAGTCAAAATGCATTTATTAATTATTTCCATGTAGTTTTTTAATATTCGTAATTTATACTAGATCTGGAATTTTTTTTTTTAATTTTGTACCCATTTTGTTACTACATCTGTGTCGCACCCAATATTTCATGAGATCCTTTAAAACAAATGCCGTCTCGATTCCGTGCCCTATGTAAACAAATAAAAAACTCAATGGGATATTTTCGCTCTCGAATACAAATTAACATTACCCTTCGAGAAAAAGAATTCGAGTCATGTTATCTCAGGCTAGTTATTTAATCAGTGAAAAGAGCTTTCTCAGATCACTTTATGACTTTCCGCGGATAAATAACGTTATTAGCAAATTTTGTTGGTTGTATTGCATGGCATCTACCATGTACATATGGATATGAAGAAGAGGAAGATGAAGAAAAGATAAGGAGAAGATCTGATAAACATGTGTATGTATGTAATGTTGAGGATACTCAAAGAAAAGAAAGGCACTTCTGATAAGATAATCTTGGGAAGTTGAATTAAATCAAAGGTTTTTTTTTCGTCTGGGTGCCAAATATAAAAGTGAGATTCGAGCCAAGGCCCAAATGAACATTACTCACAAGAACTTGTTTATTTTTGGGGAAAATCCTTGCATCCAACACAAAGTCTACTTGTTCGTGCAATAATGACACTGAAAAACTACCGAACATTATCAGGTTGAACTTAATAATACTTAATATATCTTAAGCGAACACGAACGTTCCTTGCTTATTGAAGGCATACTTGATAAAGGTGGAAATGATTGACCACTTGTGGCTTGACTACTTACCTTCTGGTGCTGCAGTCAGGAATATAAGCAGGCAGATAACTTTCTTCGTCACCATTGTTCTCTTTCTTTGGCCTCAGATTTGTTTCCGTTGTTTCGATTTGAGTAGAAGTTGTTCGTCTCGATTCGACCAGCGTACTGCTTATATCCTATAAAGTAGTACAGAGTTATCTGAAAATATTGCAATATTCCCCAATATTTACACGTTTCTCAGGTCATTACCGACCAATGGAAAGGGCGCATTCGGCCTGAATACCATTACACGTAACGAGTTGTTTTCTTAACGCCTGACATACTGTCTGACATACTGTCTGACATACTGTCTATTATACTGTAGTTGGCTAAGCTACAAAATGACAGTTTTAGCTTAAACAGTGGCCCCCAATTATTTTTCTCACCTCGCCCAAAAAATTTAGAGTTAGTTAGACGAAACGCGTCGGAGAATAGAGACGTTTTACAACTACTGTTCGCAGAGTGCTGCTCACTAGTTCAGTTTTTAAAAAAATTATTCAAAAAAATAATTAAAAAATTAATTTAAAACATTGCTAAAAAATTAGTTTAAAAATTGATTAAAAAATTATCATTATCGACCAATGAGAAGTGCGCATTGAGCCTGAATACCATTAAACGAAACAACCAGTTTTCCTAATGTCTCACATACTGTCTATTATATTGGCACTGGATGTGCTACAGTATGACAGTTTTAGCTAAAACCGTGGCACCCAAATAGTTTTCTCACCTCGCCCAAAAAAAAATTTAAAACAACTTTACCTGTTCCTATCTGTATGTCCGGCCAAGCCTTTATGGTCATTGGCCCCCGTATAGCTGCTAACTATGGCTCATAAATACAGGCGTTTAGTTTGTAATACTTAATAAAAACATTAATAAGAAAATTTTTTTAAAAAATTTGATTAAAAATCTGTTTTTAAAAATAATTTTAAAAAATTTTAAAAAACATTGCTGAAAAAATTTAATCAAAAAATTAATTAAAAACATTGTTTAAGAAAATTAATAAAAAAAACATACTTAAAAAATTGTTTAAAAAAATAAAAAAAATAATGAAAAAAATTTTAATTTTTTAATTGCCAATTGCTCAAGGTGGGTAGATTAAGGTTTTTTTAATCTATATTTTTCTTCCCAATAGTTTTCTTAAACAAAATTGGCGATATTTAGAGCGTTGAAATATTAACTTTCCCTCTTTGCAGTCGAACGAGTTTCAGATGCATGTAAACCAAAATATTTTGAAATGTTTGAAACAGCTGGCTAGAGGTGACAACAGCTTTTAAAGGTATGCATAAATTAAAACAACTTGTCAATAAAACAGCGGCAGGATTACAAAATATTGCGGGAAAGACTTGCGCCAAAGACCTAAGACACTATCATCAAAATTAAAGTATAGTTTTCCCCAAATAAAATCTTATAAAAAAATTCTGAAAAGTTATTTAAAATCAAATAGCTCATATTTATTTATCTCTATCATACTGTGACTGAATAAGAAAAATGTTTCTGGCGAATGATTCATTCATATCATGAAAAAAATTTGATTAAATATAAAGATAAGAATAACTAAAAATAGCATATGTTTATTAATTTCTTTCAAACTAAAACTGGATGAGATAAATGGTTCTGACGTATTATTCAATCCCATTCAATTTAGGGAACTATTCATTTTTTCATAAGATACATAAAAAAGTTACTTAGTTCTGATTGATTAGGATAAATGCAGTTTTCAGGTAATTCAATGCAGAAGAGGGTAAATTCAATGCAAAGAAGTAACAAACAAGACTGAACAATTCCTTGAACTGTTTAGCCGGACTTTGAACTTTTTTGTGCCTTAAAAATGTTGAAACATCATTGTATACTATTGATTTGATCCTACGCGGTTGTTTTGACCGAACGCACAATGTCACTTGCAGGGTTTAAATAAATTATTTTTGCACCTGATGCGCGCGCTTTGCTTCTGCATAACTGTGATAAGCTATCTCGTATTTTTTCATGTATATTATTAATACGTAATCACATGATTATTCTCGTGCAAGTTGGTGTAAATAGGCACTTGTAATTTTATCAGTCTTTGAAATCTTGCAGACTGGAAATAACCTTTCTTTGCTCCTATAGACCAGTCCACCACAACCACATTTCAGTCCTCTCGCTGTAAAAGTGCGTCTTTACCAAGAAAGGCCCAGTTTTATGGATTATCTAGATGTGATATAATTCAAGAGACAGGTATTTAGTCAAGATTAAGGTTAGTTCTAACTTTACATCACAAATCCTACTTGTATGGTTTTTTGGATTGTTAGCACAAACTATCTATGCCCACGGACTTATATTTTCAAGAGTATTCTATGGCAAAGGAGGATATCAGAAGTAGAAACTTTTAAATCATGTAGGCACGTCCCTAGGCTGAGGCATGTTTGGACTTCTTTAGAAGTCTACCTAGTTAGTTCGAATCAGTTATGGTAACAGAGCCGAGTGAATGACTTAAAATAAGAATTACAGGACGAGTGTTGAAAAAGTTCCGTTTGAAGGATCTAGTCTTGAAGCTTGTTTCACTGATATTTATGTCAATTCACTTTTCACGGGTGGAAGGCAAAAAACTGTACCCCATTGGTTACCGGTCAATTAATTGGACACAATGATTTCAAAATGTTCAGGGAGGAGAGTGAGCGCCTAAGATGATGATGCCAACCCCCCCCCCCCCCCCCCACTTCCCCGACTTTACTATGGGTTTGGAATAAAAATACCTGAAGGACACAAGAAATACGAAGAATTTCGTGTGTCGAGGGAATCAAGGAAAGAACGCAAGAACGCTGGTGTGCACAGTTGCTACGATATTCGTGTGATGTAATAATTCCACTCAAGTCATTGTAAAAAAAGCGACCTCAAAAGCTTTTTTTGGGTCTGAGATTCCGTACGTCACTACTTACGTCACTGCACGTTAAGGGTTAGGGCTGGGGTTAGGAAGCTACCCTGGCGAAATGCATTTAAAAATTCACTGCCATTAAGGTAAATGATGATCACTAGTTTTCTAGCATTCATAATTTATGTCAGATCCGAAACTTTTTTGAAGATTTTGAGAATAATTTAGGTCCTGTGGCTATGTTGTATTTAATGTTTACGAGTTCCTTCCTGAACTTACTGAAATTATGACCTTTTCTATAATTACATCAAGCCAGCTTGGTCTAAGCAAAATCATTAGTGGATTTTTTCTCGACTTGAGAATTTGTTTGTTAGGGAGAGGCCTAGCTGTTTATTTAGTCTCCAAAATTTGAATCTGACCGTTTCAAGAGTTGGAGGATGATAGTGTTAAGTTAGTTTTTGATTGATCAGCTGTGACATAATTTCGTTTGCAGAAAGAGCTTTAAATTGGATCTAAAACAAATGTAGCAATTACTGTTACTGGAAAATTTTTCGATCTTTTTTAAGCCATTGTGCTTTGTACCTTAAGAAAATAACGCAAATTACTTAGCTTACTCTACCTGAAGTTGTCGATCGATTGAACCATTTGAGAAAACACCTAGTTGTAATCTACCTCAATGTCTTTCACAGCAATTAGTAGTAATGTCGCAATCTGATTGGCCAATAGAGGTACTGACAACGCTGCTCGCGTCAATATGTCACGCAATGGTCACGCATTAAAAGAATCGTTTTATACTGGTAAACTTCTGGTGTTAGACTAGTTCAGGTATCTATTAAACAATTCAAAAAGCTTCTCCTCAGAAAGATTAAAAATCATTTTGTTTAATAACCTCTAGAGGCGTGCCTTTATTAATGTTATAGAAGAGAAAAAAACTCCAGAAAACAAAGTAAAACAAAATCAAACACAATTCACGAAGAAAGGAAATTTAATCATTGATCAATCCTTAAACTTGACATGGTGAATTTCCACTCTGGAACTTCTGGGCAAACCTAAGGAAGAAAAAAGAAGAATCAATGCATGAAATTGTCCTTTATTGTTTTCTTAGGTTTTTTTCTCTATTCTGCTACGATGGATGGAATCCATCTTCATAAAAAACAAACAAACAAACAAACAGCAAGAAAACCCCAATAATTCCTCTGTTAGGTTCACAAACAAAGCAGAATGTCCACCAATTAACAGCAGTTGAGGTAAAGGGAAACGTCGCTCTTAGCCTCAACGTTGAAATCATAAAGCACCTTATAGAATCTCGAGCCCAACGAATGGCTTCGTAATCGAGTTGGTTGAAGCGTTAGAGCGAAATCTGGGATGCGGAAGTTTTAAGTATTTTTTTCTAATTTCTCTTTCTGCAAACTGTCAAGGTCAGTTCATCACTTATCATCCATAATCAAAAGTAATATCGAGGACAATAGTAGAATATGATTAGGCCAATTATCAATGATCAGCAAACTGAAACAGCAGTCTTGCTTCTATCATAAAAATCATGGATTAAATACCTATAAAGCTATAATGCAACTTGAGATGGCAGTTTAATTGATAATGTGGGCTGTTTTAACGGTTCTTCACACTACAAGTACAGGAGAAACCCGCGTACCGCAAAAAGGAGCTTTGCTGTTTGTTCTCAGATAAAATCTTCCAACTTTTTTCGTTTGGTCGGCACCATATCCCATAGAGGGGCACTCGCCAATGCATGCCGTTGTCTTTCCATTCTCACAGTCGTTTAAGCTCTGGCATGGATATGCTTTCCAGGAGCATAGATTCTGTACTGAGGCATAGTAGTATTTCACAGACCTCGCATGGTCACAGAGCGTTGTCTTGAATATATCTTATGAATTTGGAGACATTTTCATGTTCAGTGTTTTAAAGAATTTAATCAGGATAATCGTTTACTTTACACCACTTGATTTAAAAAGAAAAATATAACCTCCTCTCACCTGTATTTTCTAAGAGTTCTTTTTTTTTTTTTTTTTGCGATTATGTAAGTATTACCGTCAAAATTATAGCAACACAAATAAAAAGAAAGCAGGGCAAAACTACAAACAAAACAAGGCAGATCATGTGTCAAGATGGAAAGAAATGAAGGGAGAAGAGAGGAAGGACCAATCCTTTGATTTCTGGTCAGGATAATCAACGATAATCTCTAGGCAGGCGCAGGAAGGCTAAAGTGATCACGTGTTGCCTTTTGATTATTTTTACGTCGTACGGCCTTGTCCCACTTGGGCGCCTTCCTAAGAGAGTCACAAATTTTGATTTTGAAGGAAATATTGTCGAATATTTGACCCCTCTCGATCTCCTCACAGCGAATTTCATAAACTTTTTAGTGCAAAGTGCTGTTCAAAACCTAACGAACGAAAAAGCACGTTTCACCTTCATGGCGAACACGTGGTTAATGACAAGGATAATAGCCTTTTGTTTAACGATTAAAATATTCCTTAACTTGCTACTTGACGAATCAAGTTGCATTTTCTTGCGGCAAATAGCATTCTAATTTCACCCTCATGCAAAGTAACCTACCGAAGTCTATTTCATGTTTTTTACAGCCAGGCTGCCTGACGCCGCCATTAAGAAAAAAGTCAGTGTGGCCAGCATCTCTGCGCATCCCGAGACCGAAAATACTGCCACGCAGTGGCATGTCGGTGTGTATGACGTCAACGTATCCAGCATCACCTGGATCTAATCGGAAGCGAATGTCGTCGACTTTGGTGAAAAGGGGTCCCGCTGGATCCAATCCTGAAAAAAAGGAGTAAGTAAGGACCGTATTACTGATTGTAACGAGTCAATTTTGAAATCTAAGGCGTAAAATGTATTCAATACAATCTAAAAGCAGTACTCTATTAATTTATTTCCCAGATGAATTGCCGACAAAGTAAACAAGGAGAATCCCCAAAAGAGACCTGCGAACATATTCGGCTAGTCTTGAAAATGTCGCTTACACTCGAGCAAAATTACGCCTGGTTAGCAGTGCGAACAAAAATGTGGACTGGACGATGTCTTGCACTTCAAATAAAGCATTCCGGCCCCATATTTTTGCTCATCCTGCGCTTGCTTCTGTTTTAATTTAGAAATCTTGGACTTTTTTTCAACGGTTCTTCCAATTTGACAGTAAGTTTTCATGGAGCGCGAGGTGATTGATTATTTTAAAGAATCTAAGAAGTATCCATGGGCTGGAATCAATATTCCTTCTTCAGAAGTACCTGTAATACGCCCGAGCTTGATGCCTTTCTCCTTCAGATAATTTCCAGCATATCCTGCCGTCTGAGCACCAAGGCTAACTCCTACAACATAAAACCGCTCGGCCAATTCAGGTGACCCATCAACACTGGAAATCAGGAACTTTATAAGCTCCCCCACCATAGCCCCCACAAGTCGAGTATTTCCTGCAGATTGGAAATAACCTTTCTTTGCTCCTTTAAACCAGTCCACCACAACCACATTACAGTCCTCTCGCTGTAAAAGTGCGTCTTTCATTTCTAATGGCCACTTTTTTGGATTACCTAGATGTGATATAATTTGTGAGAAAGATTAAGCTAAAGACTAGTCATAACTTACATTTAGACTCTGAGTTTCTCAGAGTGTTTTATATTGGATCCATACTGGATTTCCGAAAAACATGGATGAACGAAAAATGACCATGGAATAAGTCCCGTTTAATGGATCAAGTCTTGAAGATTGATACGCCCCTTTTTTAGGAGGCCCCGCTTAAAACCGCTGGGTTCCCTCATCAAATATTATTACTGATATTACTATTATTTAAGTGAATTCACTTTTCACGAGCAGAAGAACAAAGAAAATTTAAGTCCGTCGTTTATTCCAGGAGAGACATTAAGCTCATAAATAGTCAAAGTTTTATTTAGACTCGAGTTATCTGAGGTTCGTAGAGTCCTTTAACATATTTCTTTCAGTTTCAGGAATGCTTCTTTTTCATGGATCCATACGGGATGTCCAAAAACATGAATGAATGAAAAATAACTTTACCGTATTACTTGTATGGAATAGCTTCCGGGTAAACGATTGAGTCTTGAAACTTAATACGCCCTGTTTTAAAGACCCCGCTGAAAACTGCCCTGACGAGTTGGGTACCCTCTTTAAGTATTATTATAATTATTACTATAATTCTCAAGCTCAAGCCCTCAAGCCTTTGGTTATTCCAAGTTTAAGAGCTCAAACTGAAACCATTCGTATTACCTACCCTGCCAGCCATGAATCAAGATGATAGTTCGTCGCGAAATGTTAAACTTAGCCGCCCTCAGTAAATCCCTATCAAAATCATTAACTTCCCCAGACCCACTTCTTGTGAACATGGTGAATTTCGTGCCAACATCATATGGGCTTTGTGGTAATTTTGGCCTGAGCGTAATTAAACCCCAATGAACTCCAGGATGTTTGTAGAAGCAGCCGTATTTTTCATAGCAGACCTTCGAGGGCCATAAGAAACCTGCAGAAATACAAGTGACAAAGAGTTAAAATTTCACCAGTTCGGCAAATCGGCGTCATGATAATAATTTGATAATAATAATCAACAATGTATACAGCAGTATTTGCATACGCTGATAAATTTTGCTTCACAAGAATATTAAAAGAAAAAAAATTTCTAAGCATCCATCGAGCGTAATCAGTTTTAGTTCTTTTGCTTAACTTTTATCATGTAACTGAAATAAGATGGCACAAGGCCATAAATTTACTTAAAGTTAAGAATATAAATCCAAAACCTAATATCGATAAGTAAGGTGACCCTTCCGGGACATATCAATTGGAAACGATAAAGGAACTACAATTCTGGTATTTCAAGCAAGTTAGTCAATCAATCAGTTAGCTATTATGGCCTAGCTAAGAGGTTAGCGCATATTCAAGGGAGGGCGCTTATTGGAACGCGGGCGCATATTCGAGGAAAATGATGAAAGACGGTAGTCATAAAAACGACAACCTTAGAGGCTTTGTCTGCGGCGGTTGTAAGGAGGTGCTTCTCAGACGCTTACTGAAGTTTGATTGGGCCAAAATGCATTAAAATGTCAACGAGACACCTCGCTACAAAATGTTTTACAAATTCATGGCCATGTGGAATATGATAATTATTCGTATTCTTCTCGTCTGTTCAATCATGAAACAGGATACGGTAGACCTTCTCGGACTTTCGTAGACCTTCGTGGGTGTCCTTCGCAAAAAAAATATATATTTAACGCACTATTTGAAGCATAACCACCATAAATTTTAGATCTATAGAAAGGTTATGAATTGTACTCTTCGGCTAAAATTATTTCGTTTTAGCTTGATCTAATCGTAAACCAAATGGGGCGTGACGATTCGAAATGGATAATGTTTCTTTGAGCGAATTAATTGCATATCAAATCTGACCGCACCAATAAAACTTCTGCAGAATTTCAATCCACAGAGGTTGGTCTCCACAGCCGTATGGGGATTTTTCCATGTCCTTACTGGTTGCTTTGCAATTTATCCGTCAAGCTTGCTGATTAAATTTCATCCATCCGTGTTACGTCGGAGGCTATTGTAGGAGATCCATTTTGAAAAACGGAATTCCCTCACGCGGTTTTTTTAGGTTAGTTTTTTTTTGGATCAAATTTCAAGGCAATCCGTAAAGTTTGCATGGGAAACTTGGAACTTATAGTTAAAATAATAGTACTTAGTTTGACACGAGAAAAAAAAAAGTTAAAAATATTGGCGGACGAAGGTTGAGCTAGAATATCTTAGCTAATCACAAATGGCCTTTACTTATTGGAGGAATACTTAAAATAGCTGGGAGTGGCTTGATTACTCACCTACTGCTGCTGCAGTAAGAATTACAAGTAGGAAGATAACTTCCTTCGTCACCATTGCTTTCCTTCTTCGCCTTAGCTTTGTTTTTGTGTATTCAACTTTGGCAATTGCTTGTCCGGATTCGATCCGAGTAATGCCAATATGATACAAAGTGATACAATGTTATTTATAACGGTTAGAATATCCACGTCACTAGCTATAGCATAACAGACCAATGGGAAGTGAAAGAAAGTATTGAGCCTAAGTATCATTACACAAAACGACTTGTTTTTTAAATTTCTGTCATACTGTCTGTCATACTGTTAAACTGTCATACCGTACTGTCTGTCATACTGTTAAACTGTCATACCGTACTGTCTGTCATACTGTCATACTGTTTTTGACGCATTAATCATTCACATCTGAAATTAATTTGTTTTTGTCAATTTAACAGTTTGAGAACGAACTCGAGAATTACCAATTTTAAAATAACAGTGCTTGAAACATTGGGTGTGACACATCAGTCGACATTAGTATGTTGATGTTAGAGGAAAATGCTGTTAAGCAGCTCTTAAGCACGGTCCTGGAGAGTCATCCATTTTTTTTCTCAACTCTAGGATTGGTTGTCAAGGGTAGCCCTCGTCGTTCATTGAATTTCCAGAAATTGCATTTCTAACTGATCAGCTGCGACATGATATCGTTTACAGAAAAGCCTCCAAATCTAATTTCGTTTCCCAAATGACACTTGTTTTTCATTAGACAAATATTTTAATCTGTTTCGAGCTGTTGAGCTGATTTTCTAACCAGTTCTTTCTATCAATGAGGAACTTTAACTTATCCAATTATAAGTATCTATTATCAAAATATTTCCCGGAGGCTAGGTTAGGTCCGTAGATCTCTCAAGTTGTTCTATGAAACTGAGTGGAATTTTATCGACATGAAGAAACAACATGCATGGAACGATGTGGGTTAAGGTTTTCTGAAATTGTACTAATGTAAGTCGTTTGAGGAGGCCAAGATTAGCATGTTGGCAAACTGCGGCTATCTGGAAACCCATTGTGCTCAGGATGCGAAATAAACACCTAGTAAATTTCCTTTTGTTCTACAGCATGAACGATCCCTTCTCTAATCACTTGATAACACGCGTGAAAGTTGGACAAATAGTAACCGTGGTATATGAGAAATTACCATGCCTGTCCATGATCTAGAAATCAAGCGATCAGATAAGAAAAACCTTTCTTCAACAATTGCAATACCCAATTCTACAAAAAGAGTTTAAAAAATTGTTCGGTTAATTAATATCACCGCTACTTCGAAGAATTCTCAACAGGTTTTGCAGGTAAACGTGCCCCTCTTTGAAACAAAATAAACAACCAAACAAAAAAAGAACCAAAGCAGCAGCCACAACATTAGAACCACGTGGTATCTTATCGGAAGATTTGACACAATCCATTAAAAAAACGTTTTGCAAACTCCGGATGTAATAAGTTGTCATTTGCGGGCCTCTTGATCATTGAGTATTGAGCCTGAGTATCATTACACAAAACGACTTGTTTTTTTAATTTCTGTCATACTGTCATACTTTTTTGATGTATTAATCATTCACATCTGAAAATTAATTTGTTTTTGTCAACTTAACAGTTTGAGAACGAACTCGAGAATTACCAACTTTAAAATATAAGTGCTTGAAATATTGGGTGTGACACATCAGTCGACATTAGTATGTTGATGTTAGAGGAAAATGCTGTTAAGCAGCTCTTAAGCACGGTCCTGGAGAGTCATCCATATTTTTTCTCAACTCTAGGATTGGTTGTCAAGGGTAGCCCTTGTCGTTCATTGAATTTCCAGAAATTGCATTTCTAACTGATCAGCTGCGACATGATATCGTTTACAGAAAAGCCTCCAAATCTAATTTCGTTTCCCAAATGACACTTGTTTTTCATTAGACAAATATCTTAACCTGTTTCGAGCTGTTGAGCTGATTTTCTAACCAGTTCTTTCTATCAATGAGGAATTTTAACTTATCGGATTATAAGTATCTATTATCAAAATATTTCCCGGAGGCTAGGTTAGGTCCGTAGATCTCTCAAGTTGTTCTATGAAACTGAGTACGAATTTTATTGACATGAAGAAACAACATGCATGGAACGATGTGGGTTAAGGTTTTCTGAAATTGTACCAATGTAAGTCGTTTGAGGAGGCCAAGATTAGCATGTTGGCAAACTGCGGCTATCTGGAAACCCATTGTGCTCAGGATGCAAAATAAATACCTAGTAAATTTCCTTTTGTTCTACAGCATGAATGATCCCTTCTCTGAGTCACTTGATAACACGCGTGAAAGTTGGACAAATAGTAACAGTGGTATATGAGAAATTACCATGCCTGTCCATGATCTAGAAATCAAGCGATAAGATAAGAAAAACCTTTCTTCAACAATTGCAATACCCAATTCTACAAAAAGATTTAAAAAAATTGTTCGGTTAATTAATATCACCGCTACGTCGAAGAATTCTCAACAGGTTTTGCAGGTAAACGTGCCCCTCTTTGAAACAAAATAGACAACCAAACAAAAAAAATAACCAAAGCAGCAGCCACAATATTAGAACCACGTGGTATCTTATAGGAAGCTTTCATTTTCGCCATGGCCATCAAGGGTTACTTTCCTCTTATATTAGGTGGTTGATTTTTGTTTCATTTTTTTTATTTTTTTTTTGGTTGTTATTGAATTTATATTATTTGCTCCCTTCACATGAACCTTTCGTTTGGTTACCATTCCTGATATGAAGCCAAAGATTTGACACGATCCATTAAAGAAAAAAAGTTTTGCAAGCTCCGGATGTAATAAGATGTCATTTGCGGTAACTTGAAGTAGGGGAAATAGAATTCTTAATTGGTCTGTCCCACTTATACGAGGAGAGAGTTATAAAATAGACTGGTACTTGTTGCTCAACTACTTCGAGCTTTTTGGTACATTAGGATATCGCAGAGCAACAGCACTCCACTGGGATTCACAATCCGTTTCATCATCATTATCTTTTACATACAGTTCTCTTGACTCAGTTTCTTCAGGTAGTTTTTGGTTCTACACTGTTTCACGGGGATCCTCGCAATGTTATAAATTCCTTCCTCTTCTGTACTTTAGTTCCTACAGTGGCAGCCTCAGTTTGTGACCAGTGGTTGCAACCATTGCGAAAGAAAATTAAACATTCGAAGCTTCGCTGGGCGTATAGTATAGCACAAACTTCGTCCTTAACAGTTCTCTTTGTTATACAGCAATAACGTCAAACGTATTGGCAATGCATGGAAAACAGAAGGCATCAACGTCGCCGAGAACACTTAGAACATTAAAGATATGTCTTGCTATTTCTGATGTTGGTGTTGGTTTATTTGGTCAGCCATTCTACATTTCACCTCTTGTCAAGTTGTTGCAAAACGACAACTGTGGGTGTGTTTATTTGTTTATTTAACATCACGCAGGCATTGTTTTGTGTGGCTTGCTTAGGTGATACTGATTTCATAGACCTGGACAGGTTCTTAGCTGTTTATCTGCACATTTTTCATTTCACTAAAAGGGTTAAATACTGCATTAATGGGACCTGTGTCTTTTTCGCTATATCCTTTTTTCTAAATTCCACCCTGTATACAAGCTTGGTACACGGATCGCTTTTCCTAAGGCGGTTGACAAAGGCCATGAGACACTGTTTCAAAAACACTGTTCGAAAGCTAGTTTTCTAAGACTAGAACTGTAAATAATCACATGCATTCGAACTTCTTAGGAGATAACTGAAAACTAGTAAACTGATAATGAAAGTAAAAGTAAAAAGTTAAACCAAAAACCCAATCAATCGCTCTGACGAAGGGCTAACGCTCGAAACTTCAGCTTTTTTACCCTTTACGGTGGCCAATTTACGTTTTCAACTCAGTTGTTAACACTAAATTACCTGCTATACTCTCTCACCGACGCAGCACCACAGTTTCTTTAGAAACTTACCCCCTTAATTCAATGATAGTTTGCCTAGTCTTGATATGTAAAACCAAGTAAATTATAGTTCATTCTGTGATTTAAGTCTGAGAATAGAATCATGATTGTGCAACATCATCTAGTTCTCTGGTACTGTTTTGACTAAATGCGCGGCAAGCTGTCGGTTTTCTTTTTTTTTTCTTTATATCAAAGCTAGTTTCATAAAGGTAGTTTCACAAAGCGGTGACGGCAAGGGAAATGCTTGTAGATAAGATACGCTGAACAAGCGGCAAGAAGCCAAGAAGCCACATTAATTCACTGCAATTATTCGTAATATCTACATACTTTATTTTGAAAAAAATTTGTTTGAGCAGCTGCCAATTTCAAGTAATTTATAAAAATGGAATTTTTTTTTGTTTTTTGTTTTTACAAATATTTTATAAAGTACTGTTACTCGATTATACCGGTAGCTGTCAATTAAAATAACAACTTAAAGTGGTCTAATATTAAAAAGCTACCCGGCGTAAAGGAAAGATACAATTATCAAACAATTTACCAATTGATACATTATCTAAAACTCACCTGACAATGATTACACCATCTTGTTCATGTGTCTCTTCTTACCTTAAACGTCCTCCACTAAAATTATTTATTTAGTTAAGTAATCGTTCTAAACATGAGGCCAAAGATTTGACAAAAATCCATGGAAAATAGTCTTTTGCACAAATTACATGACTTCCGATGAGTTTAATTTAAAAAGGGCTTCTAAGGCACTTAACAAGCCGTAGTTATTAGAACTGACTTTTAGTATTGACTGTTCTTTACATCGTGGGTAAGTTGAGTAATTAAAAAGGCGGTTTTTTTTTCTCAAATTAACTGCAAACATGGTGAAATGTTTCATTTTCCTAAGCATACCTCCGGATGCATAAAAGCTTTTATTAAAGCAAATAAAAATACATCTTGCGTCAAGAGAAATATTAATTTAAAGTAGTCTAACAAACAAATAAAGGACAACTGTCATGATCTAATCTTCATTCTGCCTCTTCCCTCGTTTCACCACAGGATTTCCATCCTGCATCACATCTCTTTGATGTAAGAATTTCCCCACTGAGCTTCCTCGTGGAGTTTTTATCCCAGTCAGTATTTTGAAAAAGATCATCCTATAGAGCTATTTCATCCGCTTTC